AGGGAAAGGCTGGAATGAACCACTCTCAAGGCTGCTGTAATAGCAGTGAGCTAAAATAGGGAGCTGAGGAACATGGTTTGATAGATATGAAAGAAAAAGCTGAAATAAACCTCCACCTTGGAAAAATTTTATTTTCTGGTGTAGTTTGATTTTAGTATGGCCCAATCTCTAAAAAATTAATATCTATGCAAATTGAAATTGAATAAACCAGAGGTGCAACTATCACAGGAAAATATGGAAATTATCCTAAAATTTCTTCAGATAAACATCTGCCTGAAGTTGCACTGCTTGATTGAGAAACAATATCCTTGAATGTCTATTAACCAGTTGTTTGGAGAGTATCTGTATCTAATTTTCATATTTTATGTGTGTGTGTGTATATATATATATATATGAAAATACAGATATTTTATATGTTTGGTTGAGTGTATGTATTATATTACATTATATGTAGAGTGGAAAGATAGATATTATATATATGATAAGGATAGTAGTATAAGTTGTCACCTATAGAAGTTAATTTCTCTCATTATTTATTTGCATTTAATCCTTGTATACCTCAGGTGAAATGGCATCTCACCATGTTAGGTACTATAAAAGATCTGTAGCCATAGATAATATGATGCTGTCTAATAGTATTTTTGGTATCTCTGCACTGTCTTTCTTGCATACTGGAAGTAGTAGACTGTTGTAGCAATGTTTTAGGTAGGACTGGTTAGCACTTTAGAAAACCTGTCTTCGTTACCTTTATTCTGTCCACTTTATTCCGCTGCATTCACATATTAGTGGAAAAGGCTGTGGCTGAAATGCCTCTGTGATCTAAATAGTTTAGATAACCAGGGGCTGAGAGAAGAAGTGAAAGCTTCTAGATACTAAATATGGCTCTTTCACTGAGAGTTGAAGCTTCTTGAATTTTGATCTGACAACTAGTTGATGTTATTTCTAATACTCCTGCTGTAAGAGTGGTAGTTCAAGTTTTCTGCTCATTTGGTGACTTGTCAACTAAATACCACAATAACTGTTCTATTCTGATGGTGGCTTTTGTAGTATGAGGGTGCAGGAGTTAGCAAGAGATTAAACTAAGTTTACATATTACTAAACAAATATAGCTTTGTTGTAAAAACTGTCTTTGCCAGATTACTATTTAAATTTAAGTGTACTGTCTTGTGAATAAGGTGATAGTTTGTGTCTTCATTTTAAAGATGGCAAAAATAAAAAGCAATTGCTGGTTTTCTTAATAGGTATTTATGATGATGATCCTGAAATTATAACATTGGACAGAGGAGAATTTGGTAAGTTTGAAATAAATAGCTATCTGTTTGGCAACGTGGTGACCAAAGAATCAGTTTTTACATTCTGAGCTGTATATCTATAGACTTCTATTACATACCTATAAATAACTGTCAGAAAATCATCGTTAGATGAGAAAACAACAAAAAAACCCACACCCTTAACACTTCATGGTGAACAGTATTTAGCAAATAGGTAAGTATCAATATACAGTTTAAGTTATGTTTGAAAGATACTTTGTGAGGCCTGCAAGAGGAAATTATTTTAATTAAAAATTTGTGTATCCTAATTTATCACTAGTGGTTTTTTGGTCTTTTGTCTAAAAATGCACTTTTTATTATAGTTCAATTACTTTTTAATTTTTTATGTGAAATCCAGTCAATTGTGCCTTCCATTAAGATGTTCAAGTCCAGAAGGTGATACCAGATACTAAAACCACAGCTAGGTAAAACAAGGTCTGAAAAGATCATGCTTTCAGTGAGGATATCATCCAGTTGTGTTTTGTTGTAATTTATAGCTAAAATGCTTACAACTAGAAGAGACTAGAGAGGAAAAAATATTGATTTTGTGGGGTTTTTTATTTTTTTTATCTGCGTTTTGGGTGCTGTTTCCCTTGTATGGACTGGACCTACATGCTGAGCCAGTTTTGCAAAGTGTTTTAATAGCAGAACCTCATGATGCTCCTCATGAGAACATGGTCTTGCATTGGTTAATTAATTTCCGTAACCTACGCACTCCTTAGCTGTCTTGTTTGTGAGCATATTTTAATATAGGCAAATATAACTTAGGAAATTCACTATAAAAATTATGTCCAAAAGCAGAGAGATTGGAAGCCAGGTAATTCAAGCTGATAACCTCTGTGTGTGTTTATTTCCTTGCTGTTGCTTTCTTTTATAAGCAAGAGCCATTGTTTCCCTTGACTTTTCTATTAATTATATTAACTTGGATTTTCAATTTGTGTTTTCACCTATAAGGGATTCTACAGAAAAAGTTTGCCTGGTGGAATCCAGAAAATACTTAAAAAGATATAAGGAAGTTTTAGTGGGTAAAAAATCTTTTAGAACCTGCGTTTTGTTTTAAAGGTAGCAAGACTCACAGTATCACACCTTTCAGCTAGATGAATCTGTAGAGAGTACATTTATTTTTAATTAATATTAATTAACATGTTGAAAGTCAGGGTGCTGATGTCCTCTGAAATACAATTTTTGTGCACTTGCTTACAACAGCAGGTATGTGCAAGTGAGGTGCCATGTTTATCCCATCCAAGTTACTGCTACTGTGTCTGACATATAAATATTCAATTCGGCTTTTGGGGAAAACAGTGTAGTAAAAATGTACATTCTAGATATAACTACATTGTAGATGTGCATTGCTTACATACAGTTTTCTTCTCTCCATCTAGATGCTGCTGTTAACTCTGGAGAACTGTGGTTTGTGAATTTTTATTCACCTCGGTGCTCCCACTGCCATGACTTAGCACCTACGGTATGTATAACAAGCAAATTAACTCTGAAGATTCATTGGTTTCAACAGCATAAAGCCTATCAGAAATGGATTTTACACTGAAGTTGAAACCAAAGTCAGCAATTCAAAATGCCAGGAATAAAACGTGCTAATGTTTCATTATATCTTTATAAGAAAATATCCTTTCCCCCCTTTATTTGTAGTGGAGGGAGTTTGCTAAAGAGATGGATGGAGTAATACGCATTGGAGCTGTCAACTGTGGCGATAATAGAATGCTTTGCCGAATTAAAGGGATTAACAGTTATCCCAGTCTGTATGTTTTCAAAACTGGAATGGTGAGTGATGAAACTTCAGCATTTTTTAGAAAGATAGAAATTTGGAAGAGTAGTTCTTTAATATTTGTTCAATCATAGTTCTTTATATAAAGATCTTCTTTTTAATAAATTACTTTTTATCTTCCTTCACCTCAGTTAAATTAACTTAGAAAGCTTACTTCAAAAATAGGTATCTGATTTACACAGTGGGGTTTTTACTGTGCAATATATGACTCCTGATTTAGGAAGATGCTGTCAGCAGCGATACTGTAGCAAAGCAGCAAGTTTACTTGAACAGTTTCTCTTACAGTATTGTAATGGACTTTTCAAATACAAACAATAGTCTGTGGTTTTGAGTCTCAAGAATATGATGTTGTACTTAAAGAAACCTGGAAATTCCTTCCACGAGATTTTCTCCATGCCAGTTGCATTATGTACATCACTCTTTATAGTTGCCTGTTAAGTAATGGTGCCAGGGTTGGTGTACAAATTGCACTTGAATAGTTCAGTACGTTTTGACAATGGTGAGATTTGAGAGGTTGAATGCAGAGATTGTGCATACACTAAATGGACTGATACAAGCAATTTTTTTATTTAAATAGAAATATAATCACTGGGAGGCTAGTGTTTCTAAGACTGAATTATCCTTGTGTAGCTGGACTTAAAAAAAGCTGAATTCCAAACATTCCAATACAGAAGGGAGAGGACAGTTAGAGCTAAGGCTGGGGGATGTAGTAGTGTCCTGCAGTTGCATAAGTACTGTTAGTCAAAAAAGTAGGTTTGGTTAATTTTATATTCTTTTTCTTCTGTAGCAACCAGTGAAATATTATGGAGACAGGTCAAAAGAGAGCTTAAAGAACTTTGCCATGCAGTATGTTACAAGCACAGTCACTGAGTTATGGGCAGGTAATGTTCACATGTTTTGTTCAGGCTTTTGAAATTGCTTGTAGAATATATAATATGACAGAAACTCTGTATACAACTGAATCTATCAACTCCTGCTTATTTTTGAGGGTAAAAATATTTTACTCTAACTTGCTAATATAAAACCTCTTGTTTCACAGTCACATTTAACTAGTCACAAACTGATGCAAATTGTTTCACTCTTAGGAAACTTTGTTAATGCCATTGAAACTTCATTTGCTTCTGGTGTTGGTTGGCTGATCACCTTCTGCGCTGAACGTGGGGGTAGGTATATTAAAAACCTTTCAAATAAGGCAAACAGGAAAAAAAGTGCTACTGTTGATAGTGGCATAATCCCTTTCACTTCTAATAAAAAGTTATAAAACCATCTTGGTCACGGTGTTTGGACTGTAGATCACTTAAGCTCCATTTTAGGGGCAGCTTGACAAAAAGGAATATTAACAGGAAGATTATGCTATTGTGCTTCAGTAATGTCATGTGAGTCATTAAAGCAGCACTCGAGTGTAAACCCTTGAAGGGAGTGGCGGAAATGGCCTCAAGCTCAAATGACAGATATTGCATAGGTGCAAGTCAGCTTGTCATGACAGCTGAGTGGAAACCGCTAACACTCAAAAATAAGCTGACTATTTTCTCTTAGGTTTGGACATAGTAACTGGCTCTTACCGCTGATGTTATGGCAGAGTTTAGATTTCAGTTGTTTTTGTAGCTGTTTGTTACTGACATTCTTGGGATCAGTAGCGGGTACGGTATATGAGCAAGCTGCCTTGGTTAGCTGGTGGAGCTAAGTAAATGCACTACACCTTTGACAAATAAAAATTTCTTGGTCTTATGAAGAGACCTTTGTTCTGTGAGCTGAATAATCAGAGCTGCAGTCTTGGATTTACATTTGTATATAGCATGATTTCAAGTTGCAGTCCTTTTGTTATTAAGTTTTCAACTTTGGTCTGATTAAAGTGAGGTTGATGCATCTAGTTTCAGAAAAACTGCATCAGAAGGTAACTTCAAAGTCTGGATTGGTGATTAGAGCATATGATGTATTTATTATGGTGAGGTATTATTTGAATCACAGAAAATTGATATATCCATTGAAATTTCATTCCGAGACAGTATGTAGATACCTCTTGGTTGCTTTTTTATAAACAATAAGATGAAATTTTAAAGGTTACTCTTAGTACAGCAAACAAAATATTAAAATCTTTAAAATGAGAATTTTGTGTTGATGAAGCAAGATAACGTTATTCATGTTTATTTAGCTTGGAGTAGACAACCATCTAGTGCTGATTGGTATTAGAACTTAAAGTGACTGAAATGCTGGATGAATAGGCGGGAAGCATGCCTTTTGAAACAAATCACCTCTGTAGGGAGGAAAAGGGTAATTCTAAAGAAGAGTACATTTAGTGCATTAATAGTTTGAAGTTCTATGTTTATAAATAAATCATTTTTATTTTGCAGATTGCTTGAGTTACCAAACACGCCTTAAGCTAGCTGGCATGTTGGTAAGCAACATTTCACTTTTGAAAGCATTACTGTTATATTTAAAACAAAATAACAGAAGTGAAAGCACCAAGTTGTAGCTTAAACTCCCACTAAGTTCAGCGAACAAGGATGTCACCCATTAACTTTCAGAAGAGTAACTTAGTAGCTATTGGAGTAACATTAAAATTTTAAGGAATTTTGTAAAATATGAATGATTATTAACTAATGAGTTGTAGTGTGGTTTCCTTCCTTTTTCTAAGTGTTGTATATAATTGCTTGTGTGGGGATTTTCAAAAGCATTTCTGAACTTTAATTTAAAAAATACTCATCTTTTGGTTTTGTGTTTGGTTTGTTTTGTTTTTTTCTTACAGGAAGGTCTTGTTAATGTAGGCTGGATGGACTGTGGCACCCAGGGTGAGCTTTGTGATAATTTAGATATCTCATCTAGTACTACAGCATACTTTCCACCTGGAGCCACCATAAATAACAAAGAGAAAGGAGGTGTTTTGGTATGAGTTGTTTCTCAACCGTTCTGTATTTAGATAAAATAAGGTGATGGCAATGACAAAGGCATATATAAATAATTTTTACACTGATTATATACAACGGAAAAGATGCTTTTTTTATCTTCTAAGCTTGCATGCCATGGTATGGGTTCATATCCCTCCTGGCTTCTAAGACTGTGACCCCTGGAGGTAGTCCCCAGTTTGCTGCTATCCTGGGAGAGTGAACAGGAGCACAGTGCTGTAGCAGCAGCCTGTAGGTCTGCTTTTAGCCACCTCCTCAGGAGTCTCCTTGGACAGCTGTGGGAATCCAGGGGTGGGATATTGCTCTGTGACAGGCCCAAGAGCTAGTTCTAAAGCTGCTACCTAGCTATCCTGGGAAAGCTCGGCAGTCTCTTTTCCCAAGTAACAAGTAAAAGGACAAGAGGAAATGGCCTCAAGTTGCTCTAGGGGAGGTGTAGATTGGATATCAGGAAAAGCTTCTTTACCAAAAGAATTGTCAAGCATTGAACAAGCTGCCCAGGGAAGTGGTGAAATCGCCATCCCTGGCAGTATTTAAAAGACGTGTAGACATGGCACTTAGGGACATGGTTCAGTGGTGGACTTGACAGTTAAGGGTTGGTCTCTATGCTCTTAAAGGTCTTTTCTAACCTAAATAATTCTATCATTCTATGATTTGCAATGTGCCCCCAATTTTTATTCCAGAAAGAATATCCCAGGTTGGAGAAATGCTACTCAGTTCAACTGAGTACTGACATGTGTGATAAAAGTACTCCTACGATGTCTGTCTCAACAGTTTATGCTGTTCAACTCTATTCTGATATTGCAATCTCCTCCTACATTTGTATGGTAGTTTTAACTTCCTTAATTGATGGAGACATGTCACAGTTTGAAGAACTGCTTGTTCCTTTGTTGTCACTGCTGTTATCTGTATCTTTAAAAGGAGGAAATTGAATTTGTAACCTACCTACTTTCAACTGTGTACCTTGCCACCTTTGAGTTACTGATTCATATTGCTTCCTAAATTTTAAAGATCACTGAAACTTCAGTATCTGTAGGAAGGCTGTAAGACTAGATTGGAAATCTTGTAAACTTGATTGTCAAATTTGGCCTGAAAATTAGATTTGAGACTTTCAACCTTTGTTTTGACAAAATACAGTATTGTAAGTTTAATATTGTAGGAAAGCAAGTTAAAAGCTGTATTCCAAGAGTGATGTTTGTGACATTATGTATATGAAAAAGAAGGTGATCAAATAACATACTATTAACTGTACCCTTCAGTTAATGGAAAGGAACAAATCAGAATAATTTCCCTGACACTTTGAGTACTAATCATCAACAATCAATTTGATATTTGTAATTCATTATAATAAACACAGCTACCTTTCCTTCCTAGTTTCTTAACTCCTTGGATGCCAGAGAAATATATCAGGAAGTAATGAAGCATCTGCCAGATTTTGAAATGATCCCTGCAGCTTCATTAGAGGTAAATTTTTAAAAATATGTTAATATTTCTTTAAATAATTATTGTTTGGGGGTTTTATTGTTAGTTTTTGCATTTTTTCAAATCCTGTTGACACAACAACCCAGTATGTATTTATCTGAAAGCGACTTTTTTCCATCTGTAGCCAAAATTATTTAACGTTGTTTGTCTACATTTACTTCTGTTGTTTAGCAAAACAATAAAAGTAGGGGGGGGTGTATGTATTTAATAGGAAAATAGAAAAGCACAGAAATTGCCATTGTAACTCACTTTGCAGCTGTAACTTTCTGGTTATTTTTAAATCAACTACGTTGTAGAGACTCTTGCTTTAAATGTATTTTGTCAGTAATGTAAGAAAGAAAAAAGAATACTTGTTAATCCATGATAAATTATGTATGAACTGAAATTAGAAGTCATAAGTTACTCATTTCTTGTAAGAAAAAAGGGGAAACCTCTTTTCACACTTGTAGTAGCACTTAGCAGCTTGATCTACAATGCACATGGAAACAAAAGGTAGCAAAATAGAGGGTAGCACCATTCGGAATTATTCCTCTTTCCTGCTTATGATGTAGTAAAAAGTTTAGTGGAAGGACTACATGAAAGAATTTGTGGAGTGGAGGAGGTCATTCAGAGATCAGATGAGTAATTAGGCCTTCGCCTTTATAAAACATAAAAGGAATTTACAGGTTGGTGTAAGTTGGGATTTTCTTCTTTTATCTGTGTTTTGAGAGGGTTTTTTTTACTTTGTTTAAAGGACCGTCTGGCTCATCACCGATGGCTACTTTTCTTCCAGTTTGGAGAGAATGATAAATCAAATACACAGGAATTTAAGAAACTTAAATTTTTACTTAAAGATGAACACATTCAGGTAAGACTGCTCACTCACCTAGTGCTGAACACCATTTACATTCAGAGAACAAGTCAGTATGGTTTACATTATTTTTACCTCTTACTACCACTTGCTACTTCTGGTACTGAGATACACTATCACGTCATAGATCTGTAGTAAAGGTTTTAATTTAAAGCAAGCAATGAAATTTCCCATATGGTTTGAATAATTTAAAAGTAGGTAGGAAAGATTATCTTTTAAATCGGCTCTCTCATGGGAAATGTTGATGCAGATCCCATTCAGTTGACAATTAAAAGTTAACACTTCAGCATCAAATTGATGTATGTGAAACTGTATTTTAACTACACAGAAACCCCTATAAAGATCTTGAAAATTCAAGACATATGGGTTGTGTTAATTCTATAAAGTATTTATTTTCAAAAAAATTTGTTGCATTGACTAGAAGAATTTTAATGTCACATTTATTTTAGCTGTCTTTTTGCTTCCTTGCTGTTTTATTTGGAAGGGAAAAAAATGAGGATTTCTTAATGTTTTAGTCTCCATTCTGGCTTTTAATTTAAAGAGCAACTTAATGTAGCTGTGCTGATAGTTTTCCTCAAACATCGTAGTTTGTCTTAAGACCAAGAAGGCTACTACTTTTCCATATTTTTACCTTTTTCCCCAACTCCTACTGCCTTTCAAAATATATTAATCTATATAGATTAGGATACCCTAATTAAAATAGCAATGTCTGTTAAATAGGTTGGCAAGTTTGACTGTCTTTCCTCACCAACCATCTGCAACAAACTATATGTCTATCAGCCTTGTTTAGCAGTCTTCAAAGGAAAAGGAACCGGAGATTATGAAATTCACCATGGTAAGGGAAACTTTGGCAAATTTAAATCATTACATAATCACTCTGAGATGACACTGTCTTTGGCAAACTGCATTTGTTTTCCCAAAGAACAGTTTTGTAGTTTTCGTATTTGCTATTTTTCCTCTGACCTTGATGTAGCTTTGCACAAACTTATGATTTCCTTTGCGGGTGTTTTATTTTAGGTTTGGTTTTTCTTTTTTTCCTGGATAAGCAGTCATCAGGTGCCAAGAGATGTGTTTTGTCTTTACTATCCTGTCTATTTCAATGTAATTTACCTAATTACCTACAAATGAAATCTCTGACAGGATAGCTTCTGCTTTTGGGTGGGATAAGCAAAGAATGCTGTTAAGGCACACCCTTCACAGAGGCTGAACATGCTAGTTACACGGTGCTTCCAACTTGAGAAACTTGGACTAGACATCATGTGTCACTGCACTAAAACTAATTCCATGCTTTGTTGACTTACACCCAAGAAAATCTATACTGAGACTTTTACCACCTCATTTCCAATGTACCAGTTTCCTTCCAGGAAAGATTGGAACTATGTTACTGTGTACTACTGAAAGGATTCAAAAATGTTAGTTGAAGAACCAAACTGGAAGCAAAACTGTAGCTTGCAGCAATAGGTGTAGCTTTATCCAGAAAGTGGCACAATGTAATTATGCAAGATGAAGTTCTAATTTTTCAGCCTCTGAAGTATTGTCTTCATACGGGAGGTGCTCCAGTCCTCTTATCATCCTCGTGGCCCTCCTCTGGACTTGCTCCAACAGCTCCATGTCCTTTTTATGTTGAGGACACCAGAACTGGACACAGTACTCCAAGTGAGGTCTCATGAGAGCAGAGTAGAGGGGCAGGATCACCTCCTTCAACCTGCTGGTCACGCTTCTTTTGATGCAGCCCAGGATACGGTTGGTTTCTGGGCTGCGAGTGCACACTGATGCCAGCTCATATTCAGCTTCTCATCAACCAACACCCCCAAGT